ACTTGTGCAACCTACTGACTATAGTAAGTGACATATTGCTAATATTCAGTACTAATAACTAATGGCAGAATATAACCAGGAACCAGCAGCGCTGATTGTGAGGGGCCGAGCTGAAAGTTTCTTATTTTCTGCAGCAGAAACGAAAGTATTTAATAAAAGTATTTCAGACTTTGACAAATAACACAAATGTCTATACTCTGTTTTTTTTCTCAACATAAAAAGGGCACAGATTTGCTGCTAATGGAATACTAAGTGCAATTAACCCTGCAGCACATGAATGCATTAACCTTGAAATGTTTTGTAAACTGGATAATAAAGACGCTTCAGCACCAAATGTTCTCACTAAATGTGAGTGAGGCTAGGCTGCTTGTTTCAAAACTTCTCTCATAATTAAAGTCTGACATTGCAATGTGCTTGATAATGTAGGACTGTTAGAAGGGTAATGTTAGTTTACAGAGTAAGGAAAAGCAGGTATGGAGAGAGACCAGTGAAAGGCCAACTTTCAGCTATAGAATTAAGTTCATGAGAAAGGTGAGAGAAACAGAATGGTTTTCTCTTGTTTGTACTGAGCCAGAAGAGTTATATATGAGGAGCATAAGTTGCTATGGTTGGCTTGTCCAAACTCATGGGCAGAGTCACCTACAAGTAAAGTCTCAAACTTACCCTTTGTCTTGACCAGTGTGAACATAAACTGTAATAATTATGTTAGACTGAGTGTGACTTTAGAGAGATAAACAGCAGCAAACAAGCCTTTCTGGGTGATGGGTATGGAAGAATTATGGAGCTACCCTGGAATTATGGAGCTGTGCTGGGATTATGTTTTGTTCCCCCAAATGCTTTGAGACGCCCTCGCTGGGGAGGAAAGAGATGGGGGAGTAGGGGAGAGACAGGCCCCAAGTATGACATTATCTTTCAGTTTTTAAAAAAAATTTAAGCCATTTTTACTCCTTAAAATGTTTGTGTGCTGTAATGTGTCGGAATTTTAGGAACCTGCTGTTCATTTCCTGCTCTTTTACAACAAGAACATCCAGCAGGCCCCTTGAATTCACCAGGGCCTGCTAAAATCAGAAAGCCAAGGTTAGCCAAGACCAGTGGCCAGACTCAGTCTGTGCTACCTGGCACCCTCCACACCCACAGAGACTTTCCAGCAGCAAGCAAGTGGCCTTGATCACACAGAAACATACTTATGTCTCACTGTGCTAAAGTAGGATTTGGGACCAACTTGTCACTGCATGAGACAAACTTGTGAAAACCAGCAGGACAGAGCAGAACCCAGAAGTGTGTCCATGTCCTGATTGCCCATGAACACTCCCCTGTGCACCCTTTGGATGGCTGGCAGATGAAAGGGTGTTCCCCCAAATCATCAGTCCAAAAAGACCAGGGGTGGGGTCCATGTGCTGAGAGAGTCATCAGGATGCAAAAATATTTCATCGCCTTGAGGGGACCGTCACATTATTATTTTTCTTCTGTGATTTGTTTTCAATCTGAATCCAGTTTGGTGTGTTAAAAATAGCATGGTGAGCTTTGGAAAAATCTGTTGGGTTTGCTGGAGTCTGGGCTTTTATACCACAGATGCTGCTGCTCTAACTCAAAAGAAAAGCTCACATGACAGGAAAGATTCCTGGGCGCTGATATCCTGGCATCGATGCGATGGCCACGGCACCAAAATGCTGCCTGAGCCTTGTCCTGTTCCTTGTGTTCCAAGAGGAACAGTGGACGTGGATGGCTCAGTTCAGTAGGCACCCAGAAAGCCTGAACTCAATAAATTCCTTTGCGAAAGAAAAAGAAGGTAATTTCTCTGTTAAACATCCGGAATGACTCAGTAAACCAGAAAAATGACTCTAGAATTCTTTACTTGCTTTCTGAAGAAACGGAAAATACCACACTGAGTGATTTCATGGAATCCTTGACAAAGGCGGCGGTCCTTTTCTTTTTTTCCGGTTAGTTCAGGCTCTGTACCCCTCTGATTTTCCATGCTTGATACAAATATGATGTTGATTAAGTCACTGGAAACAGAAATCCTCTTGAATTAAGCATTTTTCTCAGAGGAACTCCTTGCAACTCTGTAAGCAAAGCCACTACCCTGTGACATTTGAAAAGGAGAGCCAGGAAGCCACCCAGCTGAGAATAAGGCCACTGGCTGGTTCAGCTCTGCTACCATTTAAATCTCAAAGGTCAAGAGAAAATGTTCCCAGTAGTTTCTTCATGGAAAAAAAGATTGGGTATGAGCTGGGGAACGTTTCCTTGATGGTGGATTTTTAATTCAAAACAGAATCAATAGAAATTTTTCTTAAAAAACGCAGCCAAAGGGTTAATAATAACACTATGAAGGAAAATAAAACTCCAGATCCAGCTTAAGTTTGGCAGAGCAAACCTCACCTCTCGACTGAGGTTGGGGGTTTGGATGCTTGACCCCATCTAGTGGCACTCCAGGAACCACGAGAAATCCCAGCCCATGGTGGTGTGTTGAGATCACCTCATCCTATATGAAATACAGCCATGGCTTCCCCTTGTCCTGCTGTCTTCTCCTTCACCCAGCAGCAGGCCAGGCTGTGGCAGGGCTGGGACATGGATGTGTTTCCCTGTGTGCTCAACCCCAGGGGCACGTGTGTGTCCAGGCAGGCAGGTAATGAACTGCTACCTGTCTCTGGGAGAGAGGATCCTTTAAAAAATAAATAACCTGAGCGGCACTTGTTTCCCCCAGGTGTGCATCCCCTTATGTAGGTGCTGGATGGGAAATGAATTATGCTGTAATTTCATTTTTCATTCAGCTCTGAGAATGAGTGACCTCTTTGAAGCCTGACTGTGCAGAGCCCTGGTTTGGTGTGCAGCTGTAACATCACAAAGACATTGATCTTCCCACTCCCACGGCCCTGGCATGGCCATCCCCTCCACTTCCTACTACATTTGGCTCTACTTCTCCCATAGGAGAACCTCATGCCCTGCCCCTTGACCAGGGCAGAGCTCGAAGCCACCCTTTTGGGGATCTCGAGATCAGGTGCCTGTGGGGGTACCATGGGTGGTGTCAGCTGGGCTGGGGTGGGTCACCTCAGGTCCCTCCCAGGGCAGAGCCCTTGGTACCCCAGAACAGAGAGATGTTCAGTCAGCTCTGCCCCCTGGAGAGCCCATCCCTGTGGTCAGCTTTGGTGAAGGCCATTTTTGGTCATGTCTCTGAAAGGCCAGCTTACCAAACTGTGACAAACAACTGGCAGCCATTGCGGGCATAGGAAGGATGGGGACAAGGGGAGAGGGTGGGAGCTGAGGGAATTGTGGAGGTAAGGGCTAGAATTTCGCAGCGTGATGTAGGAGTGATGCACAGCAGCAGTGGGCTGGAATTCCTTCTCCTCCCAGCCTCCCACCGTCCTCCCTCAGGAGGCTACTGGCACTGGCCTTGCAGATATGGACCTCAGCTCTTCCTCTGGGACATGCTGGCCTTGGTGTGGTCCTGCCTTCAACCCCTGCTGATGGTGCCTCTTGGCTCTCCTAACTCCTGGGAAGGATTTCAAAGCCAGCAAACTCTTCTTTCGTAATCCCTTCGTCCCTCTGCCCTCCCTGCTGTGCCCCTGTGGACCTGCCAACACACAAACCCACTTAGCTTAATTCCACACTCCCGGTGCAGAGCGCTTTCAAAGGGCTCCTCTGCAACACTCGGGTCCCCGGGGGAGGCAGCGTGTGGCTCTCTGAGCCGTGTTTGTCCCTTCATTTACCCCCGTGCCGAGGTGAAACAGCTCCTCCCAAAGTCAGCAGCACAGGTAGAAATTCAGGATGAGGCCACGGAAACACAACACTGCCTGTGAGTAATTGCCACGACAACGAGTGCCCACCTCTATTGCACGACTGTGAGACCAGCAGGCCAGTTGCAAGTTGGAGCTGAGCCTTTTCAAACTCAACAAGTGCTGTTATAATGAAGCTCATACCACTGTTACTGGTTGACAAGTAGCTTAGCATTGATTTAACGAGTTCCCTTTAGAAGCCTCCAATGCTGCATTCCTTGGAAGATTAAGGGCTGTTGCCTTTTTTTTTTTTTCCCTTCTGCTTCTTTCTAATGATGTTGTTACTGAGGAGGCAGGAGAATCTGAGATATGCCCTGCTTACCGCTGGGTGAACCCCATTTACACAGCACTTTTACTTCAGGAATCCTTCCAAACACTGCACAGATGGAATTTTACATCTGACAAAAGAAACAGATAACGTTTATCGAGCTTAAACCCCCTTAATACCGCCTGAGTTTGTATTTGCTTGCTCACGTGACTGTGCCTCTTCTGTGTTTTTAGTGTCAAAAGTACTCTCCAGAGGCTGCCTTGAGAAATGCTGCATTGTTTTCTTTTTAAGCCAGTATAGATGACAATGTGCTTTACTGATATCTATGGAAACGCTCAGCACTCTTTCAAAATGTGGAAACGTTTTTGTACTGAACTGTACAGGTACCAGGGAGCTCCATACAACCCTTGCTTCGGGGGGCTGTCAGGCAAACAATTAATTAAGCCCCGGCAAAAGAGAATCAGTGCCCTCAGCTCAGCAGAGCCGACGAGCCCGCGGTGGCACAAGAAGACAGAGGAAGAGGGGCACGTCTAAAACAGATGAAGAGGAGCAGCGTTCTCTGGGAAATCTGGCACAGATTTGGATTCTCCAAGGTCTTGTTCCTGAGGACACGACTTTGGCGGTCGCGTTGGGTCTCCAGGGCAGTGACTGTAGGCAACGGAGACGTGCGTGGTGGGATGGGACTGTGAGTATCGGCTATTTAGTCACTTCTGTGGTCACTCGCACAGCAAAGGGGAGGGAAGAGAAAGGGCATCTTCGCTGTTTCTTTTTAAAGGAGAAACTAAGGGCGAGGATGGATGAAATGAAAATTTAGAGCAGGAAGACGAGAGATTTGCATTTTGCAAGTCAGAGTTTACTTGCTCTGGGAGCCTCGCAGCAGCTCTCTGCTACAGAAAAGGCACTTGGTTTGTGGCCAAAGAATTGCTGACAAAAAAAAAAAAAGAAAAGAAAAAAAGGAAAAAAAGACTCGCACAAACGCGGCGGATTGTCTCTCTTTAAAAGCAGTGGGCCGCCAGCCCGGCAGCGTGCGAGCTCTCCCTTTTTAGCCAGAACACATTTTCTCCCGCAGTTCCCCCTGCGCTGTGAAGCGTGGTTAACCAAACAAGGCAGGCGAATGGCAGGGGAAAGTTTTAATTAACGCTTTATCGGCATTTCACGAACAACTCGGCAGAGGCGGCGGGGACCCCGCAGCCCCCCGGCGATGCGGCGGCACCACCGCCGGGCACCGCCTGCCCTTCGGCGCTGCCCTGGGAAAATACCCATCGCCAAAACCCTCTGGGAAGGCAGTGTCCAAAGGAATCGGTGCTTTCCCGGCTCCCACTGCCTGCGGGGAAAGCCTCGCCGCAGGCGAAACTTTGTAAACACGTCGCGACGCGGCTCCGGGAGAGGAAGCAGGGATGCGAAACCCCAGGATCCCCAACGCCGGCAGGGAGAGCTGGCAGCGAGTTAGTGCTGGCAGCGCCTAGCCCTCCCCTGCTGCCAGCCTCCCCTTCCCCTTTAAATAAACATCCGTGTACAAAGCAGAAGGCACTCAAGATTCCCCCCCCCCTTTCCCCTTAGAAAGGGATTTGGAGCCCGCACCGGCGCTCAATGCAAACGCGCGTCTGAGTCGCGGCACAGAAATGAGTCGTGCAGCGAACACAGCCCCGCAGCCGCCGTCCGGAGACGCTACTTCGTGAAAAACAGCAAAAGTACCTTTTGAATTCTTCCATCAATATCCAAATAAATACACTTGGGCCGGTAAGTTGAGGAGGCAGATCCCATCTTGCTACTGTTGGGCTTTCACCGGACTTGTTTCCAGTGTCAAACGGAGCAGAAAATCAGGTTTATCCCACCAAGCCGAGCCACCGCTGTCTGGCAGTTTGGTGTCCCCGCTCTTCTGTATCCCACTGTACTCTCATTCTGGGAAGGTCCCTCCTCTAACATGCATGCATTTTGCTGTGCCTCTGTCTCTCTCTGCCACCTCCTTTTAGTTTTGCTTCCCTCCAAATCCAGCTGCTTCGGACAGGGAAAGACACAGGCTCCAGATGCTCTCTGCGAGTCCCCGTTCCATTCCCATAGCAACAACCCCTCCTGGCTTTAGGGCTGAGAGCTGCTGGGCATCGGCATTGTGTCTCTGCCCCTGGGACTGACCAGCTCCTGTTATGCACAAGACCATGTGGCACTTATCCCTCGGGGGGAGAAGGGGGGGGGGGCTGAGGAGGGGGAAAACCCTCCTGCATCAGGGTGGTGAGAGACGTAATTTGATTTTGTGATGAAATAGGACCATAATTATTAATTAGTGCCTCTCCTGGTGAGCTGCTCGCACTCTGCAAGCCGTGTGATAGGGTCCCACCTGGAAGTGCCCTGTGTTGGAAGTGCTTTCAGACACACGCAGCAGCTGGGGCTCGGACCATCTCAGCCCAAACCCAGCAGCTCCATTCCCACATCCCTCCTCTCATCATTACAAGGACAAAAAGAAAAAGCAGCAGCTTTTTTTTTTTTTTTCTTTTTTCCCCCTGTAAGCTCCAGAAGCATGAAGAAAGTGCAAAGCCCATGCTCTCGCCCACCGCCATCCGAGCCACCCCCGGAGAGAAGGAATTTGTTATTTTAAGGGAATGTGAAATATCCTGGCAAAGGCATCTCCTGGGAGAAGGCGCAGCCGAGAAGCAGGAGGGAGCAAAGCATCCGACGGTGTGTTCTCGGAGCGGATGCCGAATGCCATCTGCTGTGCTGCGCTGCAGAGCCCGGGGGAGCCGGAGCGGCGGCAGCGGCGGGTGATGCTCGGTCACGGACGGGAGAGAGGTTTGGAGGCAGCGGTTCCTCCGCCCTCGCAGGGCGAGAGGTGCCCGATGGGCTGCAAGCCTGGAAACAGCGCCAGCTCGCTGTGTTTTCTGATGGAGGGGCTGCAAGAACATTTCCCGGCCACCTCCCTCTGTGCTGCAGGCTGGGAGAGCCGGGCTTGGGACAGCGGGGTCGGTGCTGCCCACCCTGCCCACCCCTAAGCCTTGTTGTAGCCGGAGTGAGACACTCCCGACCCACAGGCTCAGGCACCAGGAGCAGCCTCGGCTGCCCCGGAACACGCAGGGCTTTGCCTCTGAGTGAAAGGGATTCCTGAGGGCTGGGGGGCTGAGCGGGTCCCAGAGCCGTTTGGGAGGCAGAGCCAGGCTGGCCTTTCAGACTGAAGCCAGCAGAACTCCTAAAGCCCTCAGAGCCAGTGGCAAGGTGACACCTTTGGGAAGTGCAAGCCTCTGCTTCACATTCTTCCTCTGACAGCTTGGAGCTGGCACTGGAAGTCTTCCCGGAGAGATCCTTTGCCCCTGCTAGGCTGTTCCCTGGGCGGTGTTACAGTCTATCCCATAGAATCACAGAATATTCTGAGTTGGAAGGGACATACATCGATCATTGAAGTCCCACTCCTGCCCCTGCACGTGACAGAATCACGCCATAAGCTGTCCTGGAGGTTACCCTCTAGGCTATTTCTCAGCCTATCCCACAAACTATCCTGCAAACTGGATAATCCTGGAGGTTAATCCCTTGGATAATTCCATAGGCTATCCCCATGGCTATTCTGACATGGGCACAGCTTCTCCCACTGCAAGAGCCCTTCCACATCAACCCCACTGCTTCTGTACATCGGTCACGACTTCGGTGACCCATCCCTTCATCCCCTGCTCTGCCTTAATCCTGTTTTACCTGAGTGCCTTGGTTGACCTTGTCAAGCAGCAGATACCTGAGGGAGATGGCCAGGATGACAAAAATGCAGCCATTTAGAAAGAGGCGTCCAGAGCACTCACACTGGGAGATGCACATGGGGCATTTGGTCTCGTAGAGGAGGGGGCTGAGATCTCCCCCTGTGATGACCCACTCCTGGAGTGGTCAGACAAGGTCACTGGTGCATTGAAGGACTTGACCACACATCACTGAGACATCTAATGATCAGTCCCACACTGCTGAGCATCTACCTTTTGATTTCTATTTTAAAAAGGAACCAGCTTCTCCAGCCAGCAAAAAAGACAGGCTCTGAAATCCAGGTGATGATCCCAGTCCTGCCTTCCCATCCTTCTTGTCCTATCTACTCTCCCTGTGTATTTAAAATAGTGTTCCTTAAGGTCCAGCACACACACATCTCCCCTTAATTACATTAATATTTGTTGGAAAAATTGCTTTGCTGTAAAATTGCTGAGTATTGCGCTTTTCAAGAACTTTTCATGTAGAAGGGAATCTACCAAAGCTGAGCTCCCAGAAATTACAACAAAAGCCTGATGCAATTGAAGGCACAGTTCAAGTCCATGCCTGAAAGACAGTATTCATCAAAGAGGATGTGCAGTTCCCTGAGATAACTGCCTGCCTTTAGTTGGTTTAACCTTCCCAAATCTCCTTATTTCCTTATACACTGTGCAGCGTGGGGCAGAAACGATTGGGAAGCATTGTTCTATCTTATCAAATCCTTCAACAGTTCATCAGCTGGGCCAAATCCAGGCAACCCAGTGCCAGAAAACGATTATCCAGCATTTGCCCTACAGGAGTGTTTTGCCCAGCCCAGGGCAGCACCAGGCTGTTTTCCCCCCGACCACAGGCGGCACATCAAGGGTTGCACAGCTCTGCTTTGCCTTCCCTGCTAAGTTGTTTACTGAGACCAACACACACCTCTCTGTACACTCAGACCTTGAAAGTGGGTGTGCCTTTTGGAGAGCTGTGGGGCTTGAGCCTTTGGCCCAGCGACCTGGCAGTGCCCCAGCCAGATGTCACTCCCAAGGACTGAAAAAGGCACCTCTGTCTCCCGGTCCTGGCGCCCGCTCCATGTCTGTGGTTCAGAGGCAGCTTTATTAGGGTTTCCAAGGTGTAACCAGAGGATATTCAGACTACACATGGTTTGCCCTCAGACTCGCTGCTGTCGAGGCACAAAGCACCCACGCTGGCTTTGTGTGGGTTGAGATCTCCCCGTGCTGCAAACCCTGCTCAAAGGGAGAGGGAAAAGCTTTAGGGATCAAAAGGGCTGGCCAGGCCACTCTCCCTGTGGGTCTGGGATGGGATGGCACCATTCCTGTCCCCTCCCATCCCTGCCTGCAGCTGCAACGATGCAGAAGAGACAGAGGCAATGAGCCATGGAGGACGAGGTGGGGCAGCACCACAGACTGCCAGCCTTCGTAGTCCCTCCAAGGATCTGCCCTCATCAGACATGTCTCAAGGTAGCAACATCCTTATGCAATAGCCTCTCCAAATCTTTCATTTCCCCAAAGCATTCCTATCAATCCCACTCATCTATTTACAGCCATGGCATGGGGTTTCCCAGACTTGCTTCTCCAGTCCTGAAGCCGCTGTGCTCACAAGGTGGCTCCCCCAGCCTCTCTAAAACCTGTTTTTCCTGCAGCACTCAAGAAATTAGTTTCCCCTTGCAGCCTGCTGTGAGCACATCCAAACCTGGGAAGTACCGGGCAGTGATCTTCAAAGGGATTGAGATATGGAAAAAAAAGCAAGGTAATTTAAACCTTTCAGTGAAAGATCTCCTGTTCAGTTTTTCTCAGAGAAATGCACTTCCATATGTCATTGCTGAGCCCTCTTCTCTCAGTCCCTGCTGTGCTCTGACTCTCCTTGCCCTCAGGGATGAAGTGAGGCATCCAGGTGCCCTTCCTGCCCCTGCCCTGTGCCCTGGGAGGCTGCAGGGCTGGACACAGCACCAAACAGCTCACCCCACCTGGAAGGGCAGGGAGAGAAAACCCTGGGATTGGTGCAAAGCACAGAAAATACCTGAGTGCCCTTGGAGGGGGCTGATTAGGGTCTAAGGTTATGTTTGGAAATGCCTCCTGAGCCACTGTGACTGGGAAGGTGCAGCCTGGTCCTAGGAGGTGATGGGCAGCTGGAGTGTGACTCAGGCCAGGTATTTTAAGGACAGTGATATATTTTCAACAAAGACTGCCTAGAATTAAAAACAGAGAATTTTTTAAATTAATGTTTTTCCTTACCTACTCCCTATCTCAGCCTTCCAGGTGCTTCCTCTGCCCACTAATTCCTTCTCTTGCACGTCCCCTCCTTCAGCTGCAGGTTTGTCCATCTCTACGTTCCCACAGGGCCTTGTCCTACTGCTTTACCTCCCTCAAACCTGCCAAAACACTGGATTGCCCCTGTAGCTGGGAAGGTTTCCCCTTCACTCCCACAGCTCCTCTTCCTATTTTGCTCAGTCTTATCTCCCTCCTTTTACCATCTTTGGTGTTTCGCCATTTTTTCTCCTGGATGTTTCTCCCCCACAAACCTGAAGTCCTGCAGACTTTATGCAGGAATTAACTGCCCTTGGAGTTTTCTCTGTTAACAGTTAAAGGTTTGCTGTGGCAGTGTGAGCTCCTCCATGCAGAGCATGGCTGACCTTTCCAGCCCAGCTCTCACTCCTTTCCATAAGCCGACGGAAAGAATATTCCTTGCTGCATATGGAAATTTTAGCTCACTTCTTTGCACAATTTTTTTTGTACACTGCCAGGTTTCCACAGGACCAGTCCTGGAAACGATCATATTGAATGCTAATTAGAGAACGAGTGATTATTAATCTTGAGACCTTTGTATGATTTGTCCATATGGACCTTTATATCATCTGCCCCTGGAAACCCGTGTTTGGCCCTTCACCACGCAGCACCTCAGCTCTCCACATCACTCTTGGCTCCAGCCCCATTTCTGGGGCTTGTTGCTCTCCCCAGCCCCATTCCCAGCTCACACAGTACAGCTGCAATCACCTGGTTTCCATGGCAACCCCCCGGGAACGTGGGTCAGAAGAGCTGTGACATCTTCTGACGCGGCTGGTCTGGGCACCAGGGTGCAGGTCCGGAGCTCTGTGGGCGGGAGACGTCGTGTTACTCACCCAGGAGCCAGCTTTGCTCTCTAATCCGGCAGCGTTGGCCACCTCGGTGACAGTGCTGCCTTTATTCTCTTTACAATTGTTGTTAAAATTCGGGTACCAGTAGTTCTCTCATGTCTCAATGCTCAGACGTACCAGTTAATAGGCTCAGATCTTGGAAAAGTGCAGCAAACCCTGTTGACTCACAAAAACCTGTCCACGTGTGCAGTGCTGGCTTGGAGAAGAAGAGCAGACTCAAGCCACGGGCAACCCTTTATTTCACTTTAGAAAAGCACGTGTCCAATACAGCATCTGGCATTTCTTGACTTTTCTCTGTTGAGGAAAAAAACCCTTCTTTCTCTTGCTGCGTGTTAGAAACTTTATTAATAAACCTTTTTTCTGAAGCACTTACAATACCTGGCAGGTCCCAGGTTGATTTCCTGAGGGTCTCCCAGCGGTGCAAGCCCATTGCCTTTCCCTGCTGGGTGCAGAAGCAGCTCAGCCTCCACAAGTGCTTCCTTTCACTGCAGCACCAGGTCCTTGGCACAGCCTGTGTCCTGATTTCACTAAGAGCACTTTGCATCACCTCCCAGGTGACCCCTTTCCTCCCCCCAGGAGCCCACAGGACCTCAGGAATCTCCATGCCCCATGCCATGGTGTGATGTGCTGCTCGCTGTCTACGGAGAGCTTTGGCTGGTCTCTCTTCCACTGCCACCTCTCTCCTTGATCTTCAGCCTCCCTTCCCTCTCTGCTTTCCATTTTCTACCTCTTCCCTTTGTTTCTCACTCCACTCCCATCTTCTCAATCCAGCCTCTGTTCCTAGGCCTTCATTTAAAGTTTGGAGAGAGCCAAGTGTACCTACACACACACACACACACACACACACACACACACACACACATCCCCTAACTAGCTGCTAATGAGCCTCCTGCATCCCTGGAGTGGAGCTTCTGGGAAAGCCCAGCTAGGAAAGCTGTGTTTTCATAAGGTTATGGAAGAAATTAGGAGACCCAACTGGAATTTTCAAGAGCTGATGGGGGAAAAAAAAATAAATGAAATTAAGTGTGCCTGGAGTCACCCACTAGATCATGCAGAGGGATGATAGCCAAGAAGTGGAAAAATCAGTTCCCCCTACGGGGCAAGGTTGGCTCTTGCTCTTGGCAGGAAAGCCTGAGCGGGGGCTGCAGCCCATGATCCCAAATGGGAGGGAAGGGATACGTGGCTCGACTTGAAGAAAACTGCCTGGCATTTTATGTGGTGCAGGAAAGTGAAGTTCCTTCAGATGCCTGTTTTGGGAGACTTCCATCTGAGCAGCTCAGGGCTGTGCAGTGACTCACTGTAAATCAGCTATTCCATCTCTCTGACAAGCAGACCTCAGACACCCTGAAGTCTTGGCAAACTGAAGACTAACCCGAAGATTAAGGGTTGCTAATACCGGTTCCAGCCTGATGTAATCTGTTTCACAGTCCACAGATGTGGGGCCTGGGGGACAGGGGTGTCCCTCTCGTGCCTTGGCCAAAGACCTGACACGGGCAGAGCAGGAGGGAATCATTGCTGCATCCCTGACTCATCCCCGGGTGCCTCCTTGTCTGCACGCTGACGATCACCCCCTCCCACAACAGGAACCACCATCACATCAGCAGGAACGTCTGTGAAACGTTTCACTACTCGGGGTTGGGAAACTGCACCTCAACTGCATCACACCCACATCCCATAAACACCAGAGCAGAGCCACGTGAATTCCTGGGGGGGGTGGGTTCAGCAGAGAGGAACTTTGAACGGTTCTTTGCAGTACATTAAAAATTGGACCTTTTATGTTAACATTATTTTTAAAATACCAGTCTTCATAAATAGCTTGATAATTGCTCAAATACGTAACATTTTTACATAATGTATGTATTTTCTTGTATTTGTTCTGTTTGCACAGTGGTGTTTCCATTTACAGGCAGAAGCACATTTTCTCAATAAAAGTTGCTTTTGGGGGGGAGGCCAAAAAAACCCCCACAGAGTCTGTGTGAAAAAGATGTCAAAAGCCTCCTGTAGCACTTGAAGTGCCTGATCTGCTCCACTAGAACACTGAAGGCAGCATGAAATGGCCAAATTTTTAACTATTCTTGCCATTCCCAAAACTATGCTGAGTATTTCTTTTCCTGGGAGCACTACCTAGACAATCACCCATCACAGGCCTCTCCAGAGCATTCTCATCATCTCCAAAAATCACAGGTCACAACCAGAGAAACTCAACAGATTGGATGAGAAGTCATTAGTGCCTTCTTTGGGGTAACACATTTGTGGCTCTTCTTTTTGCTTGTCTCCTACTTCCTGAGCCTGACTGTTCATCCATGTCAGGTACATAAGCTTTCCTCTGGAACTCTGAAAGCCAGAAACTCTCACTGAGGAAAATTGAACTGAGATTTCTGTGCAATAAGACAATCCAATTTCCTGAGGAAACAGAGAACATCATGAATTAATGGTATGGTCAGGAGAGAGGGCAGCGCTGAAGTAACATAGAAAATGAAACGGAAATAGCTTATGGGGGGAGGGAGTGCCTTGTACAAAACCTGAATTTAACTTTTTTTCTTTTTAAATACTTTTCACTATGATTTATCCAGCCTCCATTTCATTGAACATGGCCCAAGTTTTCACCACAGTGCTGGGTCTCAGCCCTTATCTCCTGTCCCCTCCTTTTCTTAGAGGTGCTCCCAGGCAAACCTTTTAGTGAGAAGCTTCTCCCACAGGGCTTTGTTGGTGGTTGGATCCTCTCTGGTCACATTCCAACACAGCTGAAGCCATGTCTCCTTCCTAGTCCTTCTTCCTCCCTTCCTTCTTTCTTCCTTTCTTCTTTCTTTTTCCTTCTTCTTTGAGTGGATTCACCCAGATTTTTTTTTGTAATCCTATCCTGCCACCTTCAGCTGCTTCCACACAACCTGGACACTGGATGTGAAGGTTTTCCCTCCCTTGGATCTCCACCTCTGTCCAAGTGTTTGAAGAAAATGAACTGTTGGCTCCCAGCCCCTGCCTAAAAGCTTCCTATCGGCAGCAAACAAGTTTTCAGATGAGAAACTGTGATCAAGAACATACAGAAATAAACACAGAGAAATAAAGTAAAAAAACAGGAGCCCTCCACTAAAAAGGGCACAGTGTTGTGTGCAGCTTGTCTCTTCAACCCCACATCTTTCCCCTGCAATGTGACTCTTTGTTTCCCTCCTGCTGCTCTTCCATCACCACCATCTCCTCTGACCTCTGCTCTGTTCCCCACTCTCTGCCTCAGTGCCTTCACCTGCCACGGCCGAAAGGGCTCCACGTTCTTCCCCCAGCCCCACTTCATCCACGGGGTGACACCTCCCTGCAATTTGCCATCCAGCCCCCCAGCCAGCAGTACATCCTCCTGCCCAAGGCACGGCAGCAGAGCCACAGAGCTGGAATCACTCACCAGCAAAGCAGGATCCCTGCAGACACACCGAGCCCTGCTTGCTTTGGAGCTTGACCCTCGCGCCAGGGGGAGAGAGCCAAAGACAACACACCACTTTGTTTCACTTAATAAAATGGTGCTTTTGGCCTGCTTTCCTTCTGCACACCCCTCTCCCCTCCTCCCACCCAAACACACCACGTTCCCAGAGCGAGCCACTGAGACTGGAGCTGTGTTTGAAGAAGAGGAGCTGCTCTTCAGCAGGTGCCTGGTTTGTGTGTCCATGTCCATGTGCACATTCCATGTCTGTGAGAGGCTCTACAAAGCTTTAAGGCATGACATGAACTATGAACATGTTTCCTTCCCCCTCTCCAAACACACGCACACCCCTCTGAGACATGTGGTGGCTCCATGAATTAAATATTGCTGGTGTGCTACAGCATCATATTGCAACAAACACCACCATTACCTGCTGTTCCTGCATTGCTGAATATTAATTTTAGAAATTTCCACTGAGTCCTCCATGAGGATACCCAAACCTCCTACAAGATTAGCACATCCCAACACTACACTACTGCTCCTCTTGCTTTTAGAGTCCAGTTTCTCCCCAGTGCTGCCACTGCTGCTCCCCAGGTGCATCTGCCCTGTGTTTCTTTTGCCAGGATCCCTTGAGAGCCTTCAACAACCAGCTCTGCTTCTCATTCTAAAGGTTTAAACTCGGTAGAGTCCTCCCAAGACACAAAATCCATCATCAAGGATCACTTTGTGAAAGCATCCTGCCCTTGGCATCCCAGCCCAGCACATCCCCCCAAGGGAGCATCAGCTGAGCAGGCAGCCTGGATACCTGTGCCAGGCAGAGCCCAGCAAAGGCTGCCTGCTCCAAAACGATCCAGGATTTGACTCTGGGTGAATCAAATTGTAATTCACAAGGTAATTAATTGGACAAACTTGCTTGAAAACAGATTCACGCCACAGAATACTAAACTTGCTGGAAAGTCACCCAGCACTAGATTTTTTTTTTTTTTTTTTTTTTTTTTTGGCTTAAAAAAAAAAAAAATCAGACTAGCGAGGCAGTTTATCATGGTGTTGTTTGTTGTTGTTTTTCCCAGCAGAACCCATTTATGAGGGCAATTTCAACTGTGCTTGAACAACAGAGACAGGAAAAACAACTTATAGAAGGCAGCTCCTGATGTTTCCAGGGATGCATAAGGTGACTCTACCAGAGCTGCTAATCATCCATTTTGACTGCTTTTATGGGTCTGGGAAGTCTGAAAAAATTGTGTATAGGAACCAGTCTGCATTTCAGAATAACATTTCCTTTCTGATGACACACAGGAATGACATTTAAATGCTGCTTTGACAGATGCATTATTTTATTAGATGATTTCAAGCAGGACAAACACAGGAGCTTTGTTTTCCCTGTTACTGTAAGGCTTACATCATCTGAAACATTTCTACTGAGAGGTCTCATTTCAAATGACAGGGAAAATTGTTCTGAGAACTGCATGTGTTAGTTCTGCCTCAGATGCTCAGGTAATTTCATCCTTTCCAGCACCATTTCTAGGTGTTTTGCTGGAGAGGGATTTCATCCTCCTCAAAAGATTATTTGCTGACGTCTGGGATAAGTTTAGAGTCTCATCATTTGCCTGACAGGGAACTGCATGGCAATTTATTTTGTCTAATCTAATACAGCTATTAGTCCTAAACCAACCATTCTCGGGCTTCTCTGCCTGCACCCTGGATTTATCAGTCCACCCAGTTCTGCATTTTTGGGCTGGTGACCCCTATTTTGAGAACTGCCACTGTAAAAATCAGAGCAAGGAAATCAGAAGGTTCTATTTTCCTCTACTTTCAGCCACCTTTTTTGCAGACAGACACGCGGAACAGCTGTGGCAGTGGATTTCCCTTGGTGCCAAGCAAGCGAGCAAAATTTGGAAGAGAGAATATGCTTTCGATACTTTTTTGTGACCTCTCAGGTTCTTTGTTACCACACTTTCTTCCTGCCATGTACCACGAAAGCTGAAGCCAGAGGAAAAGGGAGAAGAAGCTTTATGAAGACTTCTAGCAGTGACGGCTAAATTGAATCCCGTTGTTACCTACTGGTATAAAACTAAACCTGCAGACTGTGCCACAGAACGACACAACATTCAGCTGTTTCCAACCAGATGATCAGAGCATTTTAAGAATAAGATTCAGAACCTGCTGTACTTATTAAGCTGAAGCCTCGTGTGGCCTGTGGTGAAACTGGGTGACTCAGACTTGAATATAATACTCCGTCCTTGCAGCAGAAATAACATCGTTGTGTTGGTAGAAAAATTCAGAAGAAACTCACTCCTTCCAAAAGTTTTGCCTGTATGTAATTTAGCTATCATGGGCTGCCCATACTGTATCACAAAAAGAGGTGAGAACTCAGAAATTGCTGATCACTTTGTTTCAGCACGTGAACTCAGGCTGCTGCTTCGAGTTCTGGCCTCAACACAAGAAGAAGCTGCCGCTGGTTTCTGAACAACCCAAGAAATTCAGACCACCTGTTTAGGTAGTAGACAAACTGAAAATAACTCCAGCCTTGTAACACCATTCCAGTGCTTATACTTACACGGCAGTGTAAGTATACCCTAAGTACAGCATCAAAAGAGACTTTGGACACTTTTTTGTAGATGATCTCCTACTGCGGGAGATGAGCAGGTTCTTGGCACACGCCTAAAGAAAGTTTGGCTTTTGTATTTGCAATTTACCAGCTGCGAATGTTTCACTGCAGCCAAAGGGTAACTGGTACACAGCGGAAACACAAAGGATAAAAAGTAAAAACAAACCCCACGCACCAACTAATTATCTCCTTATTCCAAACTGGAAACTAACCAAAAGAAGGGAAACAAAGAAGGAAACAACTAACATTTTGTAACAAGCCAGTTTATTAAACTCAGGCAGTGAGACACAAAACACAACGCTAAGGTCATTGGGCAGGAGACTGAAGCACGGCCAGCAGCTCAATCTTCCCCTTCCCTCTGCCCAGCTGTAGGGATGACAGTCAGATTTTTAACTCAGCATGTCAGCAAATGTAGTTCAAGGTTCCCAGAGCCCCAGAGGACACAGACACAGCCCCCCCAGCGGGGTCTGCAGTCCCTCCCCAGGCACGGCAGGACGTGTCCCTACCATCACGTGGCTGCTTCAGCAGAGAGCAAAACAAAATCAAACCAGACTCGCTCTAAGGTGAAAGTGATGTAGGTCAGCAATCAGAATATCCTGTCAGAGGTTGGGACAAATCATGAAATAATCTAATCTAACTATTTACTTAATATACAGGCCACAAAATTTCATTCAGACCATAAAACACCACCATTACTGACTCCGGGCCTCATCATTTGATGGAATTGTAAACAATCTTCCCCAAATTCATTCCGTATGAAAACCAGTGGCCTCCAACGGCTCTAAACATCCTCTGATTTCATTTACACCATCTTACACCTGCCCAGTTTTCAGCAGCACTTCTCATGCAACCATTTGTCACTGGAGAAACCTACCAGCAGCAACCCAACAGATTCCCAAGCCTAAACATGAGGAGGTCAGCCAAAGTCGGGGGCAGCACAACATTAGCACGA